AGAGAGAGAGAGAGAGAGAGAGAGAGAGAGAGAGAGAGAGAGAGAGACTGGAGTAAGATCAGACCCCGAAAGTAATAATCCTGTGAAGACGCTTCCTGTGAAGAAAGTGGAAATGTAAATGCGTGTTCGGCTCCTCGTGGCTCTGACCCCAGCCTCCTTCCTAGCCCGCCAGCTTCCCACGCTGCCGATTCCTTTTTTCTCATTAAGGCCGCGTATCCATGGCAACAGCATCAGAGAGAGAGCGAGAGAGATGCTATTTTAGTGCCGCGCGTAACTTTGATACAAGGTGTAATCACGCCGGGGCCCGGATAGCGGCTAAATAATACCTCGGTTATAAACTCCCCGCTCCTCCGTCTAAAGTGCCTTCGCCGGTGACCATTAGGCCCGGTCGCCATGGAAACGCTACCCCCCCCCCCCCCCCCATGAGATCTCGCCGAGTGGACCCCGAGAGCGACGCCGCGCCATCAATTCACCGTTTTTCCCGCAGCAACAAAAGTGAGGAAAAACAACACTTCGCGCCGGGTTTTTCCGCTAATTAAAGCAGAAACGGCTGATTTAGTCCAACCGCTTTCATTCAGGAGACACAGTTTTATTCTTAAAGTAAAGTTGGGAGCTTTGCTAATCACGCATCAGCTGGTCAAAGCAGCTTTTTCAGAGTTTTCCAACAATTATGAACAGACACCCATTTCTTTTTTAAAGAAGAATCTAATCACAGATGGGTAAACACAGCAAAACCTGATGTAGTAGATCATTTCTAAAAATATTTATTTGGTTAATAAAGGCTACGGAGAACTGAGAAATGAAAAAAACTCTCATTTGCTTTTAAATTTGCTAGTTTTTGTGGTAAACCGATCAACGTTGATCCACATGCCTCCACATTTATCTCCTGCAGCTGATGGGGGGGAGCTCAGTCGACATGATAAACACGGTTTCTGTCTAACTACTGCAGTGTGGTCTGATATCTAAATATATATATTTTTTAAATATAAATATAACCTATATTTACAAACAGTGACCCACCGAGACACATGGATCTTATAAAAGATCTTAACGATATCATCTTGGGGGTTATTATCTTATTATTTAAGATATCCATCTTGAAGGGTAACTATATCATCTTAGTATGTGCTTTAAATGTATATTTTCCTGTATAAATTCATATATTAAAAAGGTTCAAGTCACCCAGTCTGGAATAAAGGGACTTTGATGCTTCTGAAAGCCTTTGAGCAGCTTGAATCCTCCACCTCGTTCTTTGGGTTACTCCTCAGATCGGTGAGGATCGGTGAGGGTTGGAGCAAATGAGATCTATTTTCAGCAGAAGATAAACAGCCTGCGGATGCTTTGCTGAGAACACACCGGCCATCTTTTCTGTGTGTTTTGGAGGATGGACAAACAATGTGGTAATGAGCAGGAATGCGGTGACATGTCACCCAGTGAAACGATGTGGCTCATTGATCTGTTGGACAATAATGCAGCTCCATAAACTTTATGATACTTATTGAAAAAATAAACAAGATTTATTCCCTAAAAAAAGTTGGAATGATGTCTGAAATAAGAGCAAAAGAAATAAATTAAATGTGAATGCAATTATTTGAGGTAAAACTTAACAATGTAAATGAAAAAGAGGAATTGTATCATTAAATAAAGAATATGAGCTAGTCTTGAAAAATAAGAAAATAAGAAAATAATCAAACTAA